GATCCGGTCAACCTGGCTGACTGAAAACAATTGTATTTAATAAACTTTGTCTACAGAACAATATATTTGTTAAATTACATTTTTCTTAAGATTGTTTTGGACAACCAAAATTTTTTGCGGACAGCCAGGTTTTGTCAACAGGTTGTCAACCTGAAAAATATCCTTATATCTACCCCTGTTTTGTCATCATGTTTAAGCTCAGAGTTTTAGCTGTTCGTAAAAGTGAAACTCCGATAGTCACATTGTCACACTGTAAACAGATGTGTTGGTGATAATTCTCGTGCCTCTTACAAGAGCATCTGAGGGTCTGTAAGAGTGTAATCATTCATTAAGTAATTGTATTGAAGAAATTTTGTAACTGATTAATTGAATTTTAGATTCAGTTTTGTATTTTATACTTTCTGATCATTTCAGTCTGTAAGGTCAAAACAGACAAAGAATTGCTGTATGTGTGTTACCATGTGTTCTTTCTCTTAGCCTAAACAAAACTGAGTGACGTTCTGACGTCTGAGGTAAAAGGTAACACCTCTGGGGTGTAACCAGGAAGGGATGAACATTATAAGCTCAATTCATTATTATAGTAAAAGGAAGTTGTCAGGGTGTTAGAGTCTCTGCCTCTGAGCAGAGTTGCGCTGCTGTGTTTGGGTTTTCCTGATATCAGCCCAAKGTCTGACTGAGGCCTGTGTGCTGAGTGCTGTTCTGTGAACCTGATTGGAGTCAGAAGATTGAAAATAAAGTTTTAAAGAAGAAATTCAACTGAATCCTGTTTATTCGGACTTACCATTTTGAACAACGCATATTTTTCCAACAGTATGAACATCTAGGAGTCACTTAAACACACGATGGCTGTCGTTGCTAATTAACATTAACCAAGAGAGAATATATTTCCAGATGTTGATAATAGGTGAGAGTCATCAGTAACACAACATCAACACAACTCTGAGTGTGACATCTCATCAGAGATTTCATGAGTTTGTTATTTACAGCTACAGCTCTTTAGTCTAAATCACGGCAGGTGATATGCATTAAGCCTTGATTATTTATCAGTCATCTGATAGTAGACCCAGCTGTGAGCTTTAACCCTGTTAGCGGTCTTTCCCTGAGACCTGTTGGTGTTTTTACTGTACGTCAGATTGTCTGATTGTGTTTTTGTTCCTCTAGTGAATGACGTGGAAGAGAGCGAGGGGCTGCCGGCACTGGACAAACCCGGCTGGTACTCCCAGGGAAACTGGCCCCACCTCCTCGAGCTGCTCAGGACTATGACAGGGAAACCAGAACCAAAGGTATGTTATAGTCCTGTGTGTGTTCTCTAAGGGTTGGGTTGACTCTAAATGTTAATGAGAGTTCCACTGTCCAGTGGTTCAGGATATATGCTACCAGATACTTGAAAAGGCTCAGACACAAACTAAAACATTATGACCACTTTTCAATAAAGAGTAATACATTTCTACCTCATGCAGAGTTGCACAGACAGCAGTACTTCCCCCTCCCCCACTCAGCTCAATGGCCCCTCTGTTCTTCAGCCACGTGGACAGAACCCAACCTGCACTCAGCTCAATACTCCTGCAGCATCAATCCAAGACTTTCACCTGACAACACATGGAGCAGGACGAATAAAGATCAATCAGGATGAAACGATATGGTGTTGGTGACAGTGGCATAGTGATGGTGACATAGTGACAGTGATATAGTGATTGTGACATCGTGATGGTGACATAGTGACAGTGATATAGTGACAGTGATATAGTGACAGTGATATAGTGATTATGACATAGTGATGGTGACAGTGACAGTGACATAGTGATGGTGACATAGTGACAGTGATATAGTGATTGTGACATCGTGATGGTGACATAGTGACAGTGATATAGTGACAGTGATATAGTGATTATGACATAGTGATGGTGACAGTGACAGTGACATAGTGATGGTGACATAGTGATGGTGACATAGTGACAGTGATATAGTGACAGTGAAATAGTGATTGTGATATAGTGATGGTGACATAGTGACAGTGAAATAGTGATTGTGACATAGTGATGGTGACATAGTGACAGTGATATAGTGACAGTGATATATAGTGATTGTGACAGTGACAGTGACATAGTGATGATGACATAGTGACAGTGACATAGTGATGGTGACATAGTGACAGTGATATAGTGACAGTGATATATAGTGATTGTGACAGTGACAGTGACATAGTGATGATGACATAGTGACAGTGACATAGTGATGGTGACATAGTGACAGTGATATAGTGACAGTGATATATAGTGATT